CTACAAATAATTAAATATTGTTTCTAGAATAGTAAATTAAATTTTGTACTAAGCTGTTTATTATTTGATCAGACCACCATTTTCATTTAAATATATCACCACTATCACAATATAATAAATATTGCAAACCTCGCAAAAATTGTAAATCCCGCACGATTTATTTTATGCACTCATAATTTGTGACGAATGGCCTGCCCAAAACCCCAACCTTAACTCGATCGAAAATTTATGAGATGAAATTAAAAAAAAACCTTTGAAGCCAAAACATAAAGCCCATTAACCTTTCCTCTTGAATGACAAGTACAAAAGGCTAGAAAATCAATTACTTTTGAAAAAATCAAAAATTTAGTCGAAAGTATGCTTTGATGAATTCAGGCGGTAATTAATGCAAATAGTGGTCTGACCAAGTATTAAATCCTTAATAAAATTTATATTTTAATAGTCTAGATACATTATTTATTATTTGTAAATTTCTTAATTACTTAATAAAATTTTGAGAAAATTCGTACAAAAAAAGTGTATGTAAACTTTTAGAGACCCTCTGTAGTCTATGACCCATATTTTATACTATTTCTTGCATTATTTACTATAAGATTAGCTTGAAACAATTAAATCTGAATTATTAATTTAATTAATACAACCTGACAAAATTTAATATAAAATGGTCAGATATTAAGTTCAAATTGCACAATTTGTATTATATTTTATTACCATAAAACAGTACCTAATTAATCATATTTAAAATAATGAAAAACTTACATAATGATTTTGTTTTTTCACAATAAGAAATTCATTTTTTATTTGCTTTTCAGATTTCAAATATTAGGTTGAATAGCTTAACATCTATTCTGCAATCTTTGTTAATTGAGAATATTAACGCTAAAATTTTTTTATTCACAATATCGAATACACAGTTAGGCTTTGCAATGACACATTACAATAAGTGAATCAAATTGCTGATAATTTAATTTCCAATTAACGAAGAATAGATTCTCATGAAATTTATTTTTTTATATATATTATATATTATAGTTCTATAGTTTTTATAAATATTAATTGAAGTTTATTCAAAAATTTAGTCGTGTGATAACATATTTAAGTATATCGCAAACCTTAAAAAGAAAATTTTTTTGTAAATAACATTTCCAAATTTTTCGTCTTGATCATTTTGTTCCAAAATTGATTTCTTTTGAATTGGATTTTTTATTAAATTTATTTTTTTTAGTTTATTGACACATTAGAATTTTTGGATCTAAATAATAAACGAGATTCAGTTTTATTTGTATAATCGAACATTACCATACTACTATGTCTAAAAGTGCTAATATAATCATTTGTTTGCAAATGGGATATTCATTCAGAACCACAGTACTTTAAAACTCTGGAGAAACTTAGAGAGTATATTGCTGAGCACAACATCAATTCTTGCAAAAATTATGTCTAAGAGATCCATTTTATATATTTCTGTAAAAAGGTCGTAATAAACAACAAAGTAGTATTATTAAATTAAAAGGTATAAAATATTTCTAGCACTTTTTGGATTTGCTAGCTTTACCAATATCGTAGAAATTATAATAATATTATTATTGTATCTTGCAGAGCATTTACGCAAACACACTCAATAAAGACCATTTATGGTAATCCAAAAAATAATATTTTATGTATATTTGTTTTATAAACACAAAAGTGATTGAAATGTTCACGTTGATCTTTTTTTTATATTTAGTGCCTAATTTGCAATAGCTCATGATTTGATTCCCCTGATGCGTTAAATCAACATTTGATTATCAATCATAATGATATCGTTGTGAATTCTGATTTTACATTGTATGATAAAAATGAAGAATTGAATTTAGGTATGTTACCCTGAATTCTTTCCTTTAATAATAGATCTTTGAATTTACATATCTTTTAATTAACTGTTAATACTATCCTTGTTATTATACATTATGTATTATATTTTAATTGTTCTAACATATTTTCTTTTCTTTTAAAAGGAAAGTCAAAGATGTTTACGTGAAGAGAGAGGTCAGCAAAGACGAAGCTGTCATTTTTATAAAAGGAAAAGACAATAAAGATGAAATCATACCATTAAGTAATATCACAAAATTATCTTATCGTGATGTTCTCATTAAAGGGAGAGCCAATGAAACCAAAGACTTAGAGGATTTTATAAATAAACATCATAGACATATAATGGATTTTTTGGATTTATTTAATAAGGGAATGGATGCTATTCCATCATTACCAGAGAATCAAGTTGTATATGATTTGAAGAATAAAAATTATGATATTACCCGATGTACTACAAGAGTATTTTCTGAGGTTAAACAGGAAAACCTTATTTTTGAAATACTTCGTGAAGTTTACAAAATTACAAAAGCTGGTGAATACTTTGAAAAAGCCTTTGAAATATTGGAAAGTGGATTTTGAGCATGGAATTCTATTATTATTAGATCATATTTAAAGCAGAAATTCTTAATTTTTTTTATAAAATACTTACCAATTATTTAGCAAATTATGTTGAAGGATAGCAAAAATGTTGAAAAAAGAATTGCGTAAAATTAATCATTCAATAAAACAGCTGTATATCTAATGTATTTTTATTAGATTAAAGATTAGTTCGTATTATAAACCATTTTGCACATCTTTCGAATGCTTTTGAAAAGTCTTACATCTGATTAAGAGCTAGACGTAATAGCTTAAGAGCATCCTTCAATTGATTAGAAGGAAGTGATGTAGTTGCACCTTTTTTTTCAGGTGATTCTTGTGAACAATTCTTTTTCATGCTATTTATAGCTAAATAATGCCGATATGTCTTTTACCGTTATTCCATAATTTTTAACTAAAAGAGAAACTCATCCCTTAATTACTTAGTTTTTTGTTATTTGATGATACAACTCAATAAAGTTATAGAATTTTTATGGTCTGGTAAATCTTTATTGTAAGATAATATTATAATATAATCCAATAATATTGCAGATATCATTTATCGCATCAAGCTTTTTCTTACCAATATATAGATCTAAAAATATTAAGTTTAAATTAACATAATTAAGTATCTGTATTAGATTCAGATAATATACATACCATTTTTATAATTTTGACAATAATTATAGCATCTTTTTGAGTAATTATACTATTCCACTTGTCATTATGGAATACTAGAATGTTTTGTTGATTGACCTTCAATCCTATAACTGAACCACGTAACTATATTTTTAGGATCAATTTTTATCTTGAACATTCCCAGTTTTTTCGTAAAATGTCACCATAATGAAGGAAGTAAAAGAAGAGTATAAAAAGCAGGTATTACATATGTTATAACAAAATTTTTAATATTAATAAATGACTCCTTCTATGATGTCATAATTTTATTTGATTAATATTCAAATTCGATTTTGTATCAATAAAGATAATGCAAGGATCTAATTAGTGTCTATTTTTTTTATCTGCTTGGTAAAAATCAAATCAAGTAAATACTTTATCATCGATCCAAACAAATATAAATCACATTAAGCAACGAAATTTTTGAATGTGAACAAAGTATTGCATTACCTCAAAATTTGAAATCTTTTTGCTAACATTTGCCAGACTAGTATTATTATACCTTATTTTCTTCATATTGCTTAGAGAGCATCACGGTTGAATAATCACATTATTCCTGTTCAATTCTATTGCATTTTGATCTGATCTGAATATTAAAATCAGGTCAAATGAAATAGAGTTGAATTCAGGACTTTTGTTTAACAAATTTGTAGATATATGCTAAAGTAATAATCGGCAGACTTTCCCTGTGTACCCTTCAAAAAATGTCACAAAATGGTCAGCATCACAGCATTTAGCTAGAATTAATTATGACGCACATATGATGTATAGTAGGTGATAAATAGATTTTTAATTACTGAAAAATTCTCAGTCCTCATAATACTTGGTAAAAAATGAAACGTGGACTGATGAAAAATATATCATGTGATATTTTTTGGAAATCTGATCAACATATCATTATTTTCTTCTTATTAAATCTTTTATTTGATCTTTTCTGAAATAAAAATTAGATAATAAGCTATTAAATTTATATTTTCATTTATATAAATTTGTAAGATAACATTAATATTATAATAAAAATTAAGTAAAATGATAAATTCATCATTAGTTAACATTATTGATATATAATTGAATACAAATTTATGTGACTTTTGATCAAACAATTTATATATACTACCCTCAGAAAAGTATCTGGTCAGCCAAAAAAAATAAAAAAAAATATTTATTTAAAATTTTGTGTAAATTTTTAAAATAATTGAAATCGTCAATATTTAAAAGATGTCTGATTCTTTTTTTTATAATTTACCTAAGTGTAAGATCATCATCTTTATTTATAGAATTTATCATCTAAATCTTTTAGCATTTGATCTATTATTAAAATTAGTATACCACATAATTACATCTGTAACAATGCTTTTTAGAAACTTTAAAATGCATGCGATAGCCTTGTAAGTTCTTTCTACTAATTTTAAACTGATAATTTATTCACATTTAAAGTCATTTGATTCATGATTTTTTATTTGAATGGCACAATTTTTAAAAAAGTGAAATCAAAGTTTTTATGTTTTTGTATATTAAACCTGATCTATACGTTATTACATAAATATAAACATATGCATATCATCGTCAAAACTAGGAGGTTATTTAAAAAATTTTTATTTAGTTAATATGTTCGTTCTTAAGAAATTTAAAAAAAGCTTGACTGGTGTTAATGATAATCCATTTGTATCATTAATAACTGTACTAATTAATGTTACTAATGATCATCATGAAAATTATGATCATCATTTTCACTAATTTCACTATTATCACGACTATCATTGTAATATTTATTATATTTATTATAACATTTATCATTATTTTATTTACTAAATTTATTATTATAATTATATTTATTTTCTTTATTATATTTATTATCTCTTTCTTATAATTGTATTTTATATAAATATCCTGACTTGTTGTCTTGATAAACTGATAAGTTTCTATTATATAATTAATAAATTATAATCTTAATAATATAAAAATGATATCTTTACCAAAATATATATCTTTAAAATATAAATCATTAATAAAAATGACCTGACCCTTCAACTTAAATAAATTTATATTTATTTCTTTCATAATTTATAATTTAAACTCCTTGCTAATAAGTTATCCTAATGATATAATATTTAGACTTAATAAGTAGTGATTCTTACCAGAAAAATCTTTATTAAAGTTATACATAACAAACCACTGAAGGACAAGTGAGGTGTATGAATTTTGAGAAACTTAAAAGAATTACATCAGAACATATAGTTAAATACTATACAAATAAACCTCTTAACCAAGATTATAATTGTAATTGGTATTATCTACCCTCCACTTGATACTCTTTTCAATAGTTTTAAGAATTTTTAGAATTAGTTTAGATACAAATATCAAATAAAAACTTTTACTTCTAGAACTATCATTGCTTTTAACTTATTTGAACAGCTTAGTGATACCCTTGAATTTGAACATTATAATTCTTATCTAATAAGAATTATCTATCAGCTATTTTCTAATATTCAATATTATATTAGATCTTTTTTAGTAGATGTAATATATTTATACAAAGGAGAGAGGGGAAAGGAAGGGGATAACAAAAGTATTGTATAGTTAAGAATTAGAAAATTTTGTAAATTTTTAATAAGTAATTGAACTATATTTTTTTAATAACATATTAGCTAATTATTACTTAATATAATATTTTATTCATTGTTTGGTTTAAAGTAATACATAATGTAAAATCTAATTTTGAAAAAATCTCTACTTTTCAATATTTCGCACTTTATATATTTTCGCTAAAAGATTAGCTTTTAGCTTTTTTTATATTTTTACTAATTAATAAGCTGTAAGTATTCACATAAAGTCAAGCAATGACATCTTATAAAATTTATGATTTCTGAATTGCTAGATCCAATTTTTTTTGCTTTAATAATAACATTTTATCCTTTTAACAAAAATATAATATGCAATATTAAAAAATAGAGATTTTTAAAATTTAATTTTAAGAATTACAATATTTTAAATTAAAATAAATTTAATAGAAAAATGTTGGGATAATGATTTATTAAAAAGGCCAATTGTAAAGAGATTATTAATAATTGATATAAAAATATCAAAAAAATAAATGTTGATACAAAATTAAATATGATATTATAGATTTTTATAAATCTGATAAACATTAGAACAAAATCAAAATAATAATTTAAATGATATAAAAGATCATCTACAGGTATTTTATACAAGTTGTTTACTTAATTTTACTAAAAGATTAAATGAAATTTTAAATCTTGAAATTAAAGTTCAAATATTAGTAAAAGTATTGATAATTATTATAATATTTATATATATATTTTAATAATTTTTTTAATTTAATATATATTTTTTATAATTTGATAAAAGCTTTAATTATTACAAATGATAAAATAAATTACTAATTTAAATATAAAATTAAATCTATATATGTTTAATTTATTTATATTAATTTTTTTTTATTATAGATAAAAATAATTAAAATATATTTATAAATATATTATATATTATTTTATTTTTATAATTATATCATATTATTATTCCTTCAAGCATTTTGCAGGCAAATTTTCCTGCAATTTTATTTAATAATTAAAATTATTTATTTAAAAATTAATATTTTTATAATAATTTTAAATATTTTTAAAATAATTTATTTAAAAATTAATATTTTTATAATAAATTTTATGATGTTTTC